TGAAGGAGACAGGCAGTATACATGGGAATCACATCACAGCAAAGTTGCATCCTTTAGAACATTAGTAAATACTACGAGTGTAGTTTTCTTTCTTTCTTTCTCTCTTTTTCTTTCTTAAACAGGGACTTGCTGCTTCTGGGATACCTCACTCAGGATGATCTTTTCTAGTTCATACCATTTGCCTGCAAATTTCATGATTTCCTTGTTTTTAATCGCTGAGTAATATTCCATTGTGTAAATGTACCACAATTTCTGTGGTACCATTCCTCCATTGAGGGACATCTGGGTTATTTCCAGGTTCTGGCTATTACAAATAAAGCTGCTATGAACAAGGTTGAGCAAATGTCCTTGTTGTATACTTGAGCATATTTTAGATATATGCCTAGGAGTGGTATATCTGGATCTTGAGGTAGCAATATTTCTAATTGTCTGAGAAAGCACCAGATTAATTTCTAAAGTGGTTGTACAAGTTTATATTCCCATCAGCGATGGAGGAGGGATCCCCTTTCTCCACATCCTTCCCAGCATGTATTGTCACTTGAGTTTTTGATTTTAGCCTTTTTAATGGGTGTAAGGTGAAATCTCAGAGTCGTTTTGAAGTGGATAATAGACATATAATATAGGATAAACATACTAAAATCTGTACACCTAAAGAAGCTAAGCAAGAAGGAGGACCCTGGGTAAGATGATCAATCCTCACTCAGAAAGGCAAATGGGATGGATATCGAAAGAGGGAGAAAACAGGAACAGGACAGGAGCCTACCACAGAGGGCCTCTGAAAGACTCTACCCAGCAGGGTATCAAAGCAGTTGCTGAGACTCATAGCCAAACTTTGGGCAGAGCGCAGGGAATCTTATGAAAGAAGGGGGAGATAGAAAGACCTGGAGGGGACTGGAGCTCCACAAGAAGAGCAACAGAACCAAGAAATCTGGGCCCAACGGTCTTTTCTGAGACTGCTACTCCAACCAAGGACCATGCATGAAGATAACCTAGAACCCCTGCACAGATGTAGCCCATGGTAGGTCAGTCTCCAAGTAGGTTCCCTAGTAAGGGGAACAGAAACTGTCTCTGACATGAACTCAGTGGCTGGCTCTTTGATCACCTCCTCCTAAGTGGGGAACAGCCTTGCCAGTCCACAGAGAAAGACCATGAACCAAGTCTGATGAGACCTGATAGGCTAGGGTCAGATGGAGGGGGAGGAGGACCTTCCCTATCAGTGGACTGGGGGAGGGACAAAGAGTGGGATTGGGAGGGAATGAGAGAGAGGGCTACAGCTGGGATACAAAGTGAATAAACTGTAATTAATACAAAAAATAAAACAAACAATAAAACAGGAAATTGTGTTTGCTTCAGTGTGAAAGAGAAGCTACTAGTGAAAACAAACAATAACTCCCTTATATGTTAGTTCTGAAAAAAGAGAAGGACATGGGAAGGAGGTGGGGGAGGACAATGGGCAAAGCACCTCGTAATGTAAATTACTGATCCCTTTCAGCAAGAACAGATCAATGAGATATAGAGACTGTGAACTGTAATACTGGGATTTTTCATGTTGTGCTCTTACATAGCAGATAGATTTTCTTGGAATCCACTATAATGGTTTTGCTGAATCTGCTTATTTTCCCATAATGTTTAGTTAGTGTTTGGTCTGATGCCTGAAAGGGAAGCTGGTGGCTTCCCTGTGTGAACGTGGCACAATGTACACATCTCTCCTGAACCTGGGCTGAGTCACAGAGTGAGGAGCCTTCCCACCCAGAGGGCTGCATGAGGATGTTGCCTGCAGGTAGGATAGGGGAGAGGGTGCAGTTGTCTTTGTGGTTTTTCACCTCCCTGTCCTGGAGGTTTCTCTAACAGGGCCCTCCTGTTAATGCCCCCTGGGGTCAACTCAGCCTCGAGGAGACAACACAGGACGCCCTCTAGGCCCCAATTATGTCCTAATCAGCTTCCTGCATTCCAGCAAGGACTCCAAATACTGCCCCAGTATAGGTATTTCCTGACATAGGCAGGGGTCACTGTAAAGCTGCAAGACAAATGTGCTCTGGACCTTTAAAACATCATGGTCACCAAATAGCAGATCAGGCCACAGGCCGGAATGTTAAGTGCTGGAGTTCCGTATGACCAAGCTCAACCCAGCAGGGTTTGAGGTGGGCACACAGTGACAAAGACAAAGGCAACTGCTACCAAGGGGAAAAAAAAAACAAAAAACCTCATGTCCCCAAATGCCACTAGGAAGCCTCCAGTTTCTGCTCAGACACCCACAACCTGCCTAGCAGTATCCCAGCATTTGTGTGGAGCTGACTAACAGTCACTAACGTCGGAGGTCCCACAGCTGAGCAGTGAATTATCAGCTTCTCGGGGTTGCTGGAGATAGTGCCTCTGGCCTGTGGGTTATAATTGTCCTGTTTCTCAGAAACAGGAGCCGGCTTGTGCTTAAAGCATTGACTCTTTTCCTAGAGTCCGTGGCTATTTAATGTCCAATGATTAAATTCTAATGATTAAAATGGGATAAAAGGCCTGGCATCTGTGTCTTCATGTCCTGTTTGTCCCTTTTGTTGCTGCAACCATGACTCACACTCTGCTCAGCTCTGCATTTAGCCTTGTTGACCCTTTGAGAAACATTTTGTCCAAAAACTATAATGCAGGGCGAATCTTGTCTGCTGTTCCCTGGAGTGGGTGTATTTATTCTGTCCTGTCCTTCTTCTCTTTTGCCAGCTCGAGCATCTACAATCCGCCATCCCTATCATAGTGGCAAACCAAACCATGAAGCCACTATGATGCCAGCAAGGTGGGACTTAACAGTTCTGAAAATCCTAACAGTCCTATGACTAGACCTCAGCCTGAGGGACATTGATGCAGGATGTTGCATCAACAGGAGCTGCCACTTTAAGTTTCTTCCCCAGAGTATGCAAATCCAGAGGGCAGGATGCTTGCACATAAAGAGGAGAATATCCATTAAAACCATGCCTGTAACCTACTTACCAAGCCTTACCCCATTCTCAAAAAAAAAAAAAAAAAAAAAAAAAAAGTAAAAAAATAACAAAAAATCTTTTTTTTTTTTTTTTTTTTTTTTTTGTCCAAGCAAATTGCCTGGTCATCTGGACCATCTGCCTGAAGTCAGCCAGTAGGAGTGGAAGATCTAATACAAAGCCTGTTCTGTTTATAGTGTGTGGTTGAGTCTCATTTTCACCCATTGTACGTCCCAAGATCCCAGGGTCTGTTTTCCTTTTGCATCCAATATTTGGGTTTCTTATAGAAGTACCCGCTATCTACCTGCAATCAGCCGGGAAGCCTGGATTTTATTTGTCAACCTTATTGTCTGAACTCTTGGGGTCTCCAGTGAGAGGTCATCAGCAAGGTCACTGTGGGGTGTCTGCAGGGCTAAGCAGAACCCCAGTGGAGAGTGTGAACCACTGACTCGCTATTCTGGCTGTTCTGCGAGGTGAACCCGGAGGTTGTGGCCAGGTTATCACCTCACCTCACTCCAGAGAAAGCCTGAGAGTGTCTCCTTCTGCAGTTCCACTCCTGCCCAAGTGGCCATGTTCTGACTTGTTTGTCTTTAAGGAACAGTTTTGGCTGGCAAGCAGTACAAGTTTTACAGAAGAACAGGCCCATCCCCAGGGAAAGGTTGTTTGAGGGTGGGGGTGGGGGATGGGACACAGCGGACACACACTGAGAAGCTGTAGGCGAGCAGACCTTCAAAACCACACGTATGGCACACAGCAGACGCCACACAAACAGAGTGCGCCGGGACCAATCTTCAACGGACATTATTCTGAACACTTCACGAATCACCTTTATTTCGTTCAGGAATATTGTCTGACCCTGCTCTTGGGGAATTTCCTGTCAGGTAAGGTAGGTCTAATCCACTGCCTTGGGTCTGGACCTGAATGGCCAGGGTCACAGTGCCCAGCTTGCTTCTGAGCTGTTCGTGCTAGCAGCATTTTTCAGTTTTTCATGGACAATTTTTTTTTTTTTAAATCTTTACCTTAGTTGTTTATCTTTAGTCAGTAGGTGTTTTGGAGGACTTATCACTAAACCCTTAAAAAATTTCTAGAATGAATAATAATTACTGCCTTTAGGTTTTTTATTTTTATTTTTTTTTTTAAGACAGGTTTTAGTATGAAGTGTTTGACTCAGATCCACAACCCTCCTGACTCAGCCTCCCAAGGACTGGAATTACAGGCATGCTCCACCATCTATTGATATGATATTCTGATGTAGGTGTCTCTAATTCATTCATCATTGTTTATCTTGACTCTGTTGGTGTTTTATTTATTTATTTATTTTTTTTTTTGTAGAATTACTTTATTGGAGCTAGGTTGAATTCAGTCCTAAAGTTAAGCCCGGTTGAGATGAAGGGATTTTTCCGCTCGGTGCTCAGTTTTTCAGGTAGACACACACAGCCCCAGCTGTACCACTGTGCAGGTTCTGTGCCCTGGAGACTGGCTGACCTTTCTTTCCCATGCCTCCAAAGCTAAAATCTGCACACGAAAATACAGTTCCTCCGCAAAGTTACGGCGTAGGGGAAGAAACTGCTTATAAATGGCAGGATTTAAACTGATGAAATAAACCTTTTTTTTGTTGTTGTTGTACTAAAACTCATACATGCCTTGTCAATATCACTGGTCCATACAGCCTCCTTTAATTTAATTAAAAAAAAAAAATTAACGGGGTATTTTTGGTCTCCTGGAAGAGTCAGGCTGTGGCCACTTTAGAATAAAGTCCTAACTGACTCCAAGAAGCACATGATTTTAGTTCTAGGCCAGAGCTTGCTTATTGAGAGGTCTGAGTAGGGCGGGATCAACAGGAAGATGCTGGATTAGGTCTCTCCTGTGGATTCTCGCATGGTGATGGAGGGGAGGGCGTGTGAGCGTGGCGGGAGGGTGGGTAGGGCCAGCTAAGGAATCTGCCTTGCTGTGCGGGATACAGGCGACGTCTGTTACCGTCGACCACGTGACCACACCAAAGCCACCCGTGCCAGCCGCGGTCAGCCCGGGACTCACCGGTGCTGCTCTGGATGGTCCGCACCGTGGTGGTCGTGCGCGGAGGGGAGGACGACCTCAGCGACACGCACTCGTCGTCCTGCGAGCAGCCCTTCTCGATGGCCCGGACGTAGCTGTGGCTCCGCATGCGGAAGCAGCCGGGCATGGGCAGGTCCAGCGCCTCCACGGCCTGCGACTCCAGCTCGCTGAACACCGACTCGCAGACGGACTCGAACTGCCCGTTCACCTCCATCTCGCTCACCTGCAGGAAGACGCGGGGCGGTAAACACCAACATCGCCCACGGGAGCAGCCCCGGCTGTGGATCATTGCCAACGTGTTATTACTTCCTTTAGGTCCCAGATTATAAGTGAATGGCCGCCAGCTACTGAAGAGAAAAGATGACATTTTAAAGGGAGAGAGCTCTGGGGCCCGGGAAGACATCTCAGTATGTGAGAACTCTTGCTTTGCACAGGTGAGAGGATCCGAGTAGGAATCCCCAGGACCTGTGTGCAAAGCAGGGCATGGCTTTTCAGAAGTAACAGAAACAGGTGTCTCTAACAGAAGCACCGAGGGAGGCATTGAGCAGCGAAGGCAGATCCCGGCAGCGCATTGGCCAGCCAGACTAACCGAACCCAGTTTCCGGGAGAGACCTTGCTGCAAAAAACACAGTGAAGAGCAGCAGAGGACGCTTCCTGCTGCTTGCTCTGGAACACACACCTGCATACGTGGGTGAATGCATCCTCTTCCACCCCCTCTAGGGGAGAGCTCTGTTTCCACAGCAGTGAAGAAATGCATGCCGGGAAGGAAGCAAGCGTTTGCCCAATGCCTCCTTGATAATTCTAGTCACAGTTTCCAGCACATTTTTTATTTTAATTTTAACTTTATTTTATTTTGCATTGCTGGGGACGGAACCCAGGGCCTCCTTCTGGGCAAGCATTTCTCACAAAAGTTATTTTCTCTAGCTCCTCCTCATTAGTAACTGGGGCTTTTTTTTTTTTTTTTTTTTTTTTTTTTTTTAAAGAGCAAGTTTATTGGTTTGTGGTAAGATTTCATGTATTTCAGTGAAACTTTTTTTTGGCAACTATTATTTTTGTAAACTATTTTACTATGCCTTTTGAAGTGACTAGTTCATCAAATAATAACTGAATGCAGAACATGAAACATACATTTTAAATTTTATTTTGTTTTGCAAGAGATAGTCTGTACTAAAATAGGCCAAGCCCAGAAATGTCAAAATCTCAAAAAGCAGTATCAAGATTTCAAACTATTCACAGGTTTCACTTTTTATAAAAATAAATTCATAAACTTATCTAATTAACATTAATTAATTAATTGATTAATTAATTGAGATAGGGATTCATTATATTCTCCTAGCTGTCCAGGAGCTCTCTACATAGACTAGGCTGGCCGTGAAATCATAGAGATACTCCTACCTCTCTGCCTCTGAAATGCTCAGATTAAAGGCGTGAACCACCAGGCCTGACCTCATCCATGAACTCTTTACAAATACATTCTTGAAGATCTTTGAAGCAAGACCCTCTTTAAAAATAAAAATCAGATAATTACAACAGCAGCAGCAGCAGCAGCAACAACAACAACAACAACAACAGATTTTAGCCTAATATGACAGCACACGCCTGAGGAAGAGGCAGGTGAGTTTAAGGCTACATACTGAGCTCTCTGCCTCTTCCTTTGAGGCAGGTCTCTCTCTGAACCTATTACTAATACTTTCGTAGCTGACCTAGCTCTGCTCCTATATTCTCTCAGTTCAGACCTGGGATTACATACATATGCAGATTGCACAGCTTGTTACGTGGGTGTTGGGATTCAAACAATTGAACACCAAAATACTCCTCACTGCTAAGCCATGACTCTAGCCTTCTGACTCTGTGTTGATTTTAATAAAGTATATGTCCGTCTGTCAGCTTATCTATCTATCTTTACTTCATGCATGCGTGTGCCTACACCTGTAGCGCCTGCGCCATTGTGCGCCTGTGGAGGTCAGAGAACAGCCTGTCCGACTGGATCATCTCCTTCCACCATGTGGATTCAGGTATCAGTCGGGTTATCAGGTGTGGTGGCCAGCTCCTTTTCCTGCTGAGCCACCTACCTCTTTGGGTCACTGAATCAGAATCTGAGTTAAGGATCTGCAGGGGTTTGTGACTCATTTAGTCTGAAATGATTTCAAAGCAATTTATCCATGGATGTGCTCACAAACTATACATTCTTTTTTTCCTTTCGATTATTGCTGTAACAGATATCACAAAGAAACAGTGACCTATCTCTCTCTGTCAAGGTTGTAGACATTAACCTTGGGTTTCTATCTTTCCAGAGGGTTTATATACCTTCTTTCCTAGTTTTAATAAAACTTGAATCGTACAGCAAACATAATTCTGTAACTTGCTTTTATCTTATTGAATCATATAGGCTAAACATACATTCTTATGAGGGTTGTCCTTTTTTTTCCCCCCACACAGACATAGAAAACCAAAGGAAACAAATGTCTAACTTAACAGATAATAACAACAACCAAGTATCCCTGAAAATAGTAAAATATCAAGAAAGGACATTTCCAAGCCACCTTTAGCCCTCCATATGCCTTATCGTAATAACAAATCATTTCTAAAGTTTACTTTTTCCAATTTTAAAGTTTTGTTCACCCAAGTGTGAATCCCTGGGCAGTACAGCTTATTCACTGAAGACAATCTGACACATAGGGTTTTGAAGGGATCAAAATTCAGGGCCTCTTGTATACTCGGCAACTGCTATCATCATTAGAGATGTCTACTACACCATTTATTTAAAAATTAATATATTTATATGCTCGTTTGTGTATATGTGTTGTGTGTGTGGCTGTGTGTGCCAGAGAGTGTGCATGCTCAGAAGACAGCTGTGGGAGTTGTCTTCAGTATGTAGGTATTGGTTAGTGGATCTTTAGATTGTATTGTTAGAAAGCTTTATTTTAAATATCATTATTTGAGTTTCATAAATGGCTAAGCTGTGAGTTTTTTTTTTTTTGTTTGTTTGTTTTGTTTTTTGGCTTGCAATTAGGATACTTTCCTAATGGCCTGAGACCTACTTCTGCCGTTTTGTTCCTCTTATCTACCTGAAGTGGTGCTCTCAGCACTGATGGAGACACACTCTGGAAAACAGTGGATACACTCTCCTTCCTGCTATCAAATATTGAGCCAAGAGTAGGTGCTTTGTAGCATCTTCAGCATGGCAACTCACTTTCATCCTTAATAAGTGGTACAATTATATGTATATTGAAGACTTGCTTTAAAATAGATTTACACTTTATCATCAGCATCTTCGTACACTTACTTTATACACTCATGTGCCTGGAGTTGCATGAAAAAAAATTGCAAGCACAAAGGGCTCATGTAGTCAAAAGCTTAAAAAGTCTAAGTCCTTCGTTCACAAAATTTTACTTGGATCCTTCTTTGGAGCCTTTGGTGAATAATGTCAGATTTTACATAGGAACAGAGTACCATGTGCTTAAGATCAACACTATTCTTCTACTTATATATATTAATATAGACAAGTAATACTACGTAAGAGAATAACTCCCACAAAAGCAACTCCATTTTAAAAAGTTTATGGTTCAGTGACTTTGAAGAAGAAACTGTTCTCTGAATAATGACAGCATTTCGACTGTAACAGGAAGTCTGAAATTGTCCTCAGAGATAATGTGTTGTTATTTGAAAGTTGAATTTGGTGCTAGAGGAATGATGTGTCATTAGGACTCCATTAAGCATGGTCATTCTTTCTGTTTTTTACTTAAGGCCAAATGACTACCCTGTGGAATTGCAGCATTTGACCTGCAGACAGCATTAGTCTTTTCCATGCTTGGTATCTTACTAAGCTGTAATTGGGAAGTGATGTCCCAAGGAAGGTCATATCCACAGCACAGGGATGCGAAGCAGCCAGCTGAACAGCATAGTGTCCCTCGGGGGTTCCTGACATGTTCCCCTGTTCTAAACCCATGAAAGTTATAAAGTTATGAATGTGTATATTTTTTCACCATTTATTTTATTTATTTATTTTTTTGAGACAGAGTTTTACCATCAAGCCCTGACTGGGCTGGAACTTGCTATGTGGACCAGGCTGGCCTCAACTCACAGAGTTCTGCCTTCCTCTGCCTCCCGAGTGTGGGATTAAATGCATGTGCTACCACAAACAGCTTTACAAGAACTTTAAGCCTACAGGTGTAGAACTTGAATGTTTTTTTCCAGGGGTCCTAGGCACGGACCCCTTGAACAACACTGCAGCTGAAGCCTCCTCCATCAACACCATCCTGAAAGTGGCGGGTACCTCCCTGACAGGTTATGAATTTCCAAGCGTTCCCTCTTTGTACCCGCTCTGCCTGCAAGGGGCCCTCTTCTCTAGACCATCAGCAACAGGAGCTGGGGATGAATATGCAGTCTTCCCTGCAGCCTCTGGCTGCTCTTCCTGCGGACTCCATCAGTGGTCATGTGGGTGCGACTATCCGCTCCCTTGCCCTCTCAGGTCTCAGTGATAACGGCGCCTGTCCAACAGAGGCTCTGATGGCCCTCACCTGGCTGATGGTGCTCATGGCTCGCATGTAGCTCTCATTTCTGGAGCGAAACTTTGGCGATGTGAGCAAGCCTGCAGGGTCGAGACTGTCCAGGCTTCTGTTGATGGAGACTTCACTTACTGCCCTCAGGTAACTGTGACTCCGGATCTGGAGTTTGGGTGAGTGTTCATTGGAGATCCTGGAAGAGAATAATGGAAGCATCTGTGTGAGTGCTCAGTGGAGGGCCCAGAAGAGTCCTGCTCAATGGGGCAGTGATAAGCCATGGCAAGCACCCGAAACACCAGGACAAACGGTACTGATTTCTACGATTGCCAAAGTCCTGTATGATGGCTCAGGGGAAAACCTTTAATTTCTATTCTTGTTTTCTTTTTAACTAAATTTGTTTTAATTGACACATAATCATTTTATATAATACACATGTGTCATGGTGTGATAATATAATGCATGTATTTAATTTACGGCAATTGGATAAAGATAATTGATATAACCATAACCTCAAATATTTGTCATTTCTTTGTGAGGGGAACATTCAAAGTCTCACTCACTATTTCAAATGTACATTTATTGTTGTCAATCATAAGCACCAACTATCCCCCAGGGCGTTTTATTTTCCCATTTAACCACACCTATGAATGGCTTAGCCATCCTCTCTTTACTCCCTACTCACTCCCTCAAGCTTCTGGTGTCTACTCACAACTTCTATAAAGTTGAATTTCTACGTATTCTCACGCAAGTGAGAGCAATCAGGATTTGTTCTAACAACACATTCCAGTTCCATTGACATAGCCACAAATGATACTCTTTAGCACTGCCTTTTCTTTATCCATTCTTCACTTTATGAATTGACATCTAGGTTGATGCTAGATGCTGGCTATTTTGAATGAAGACACAATAAATATTATGTTGGCATAATGTTCTTTTGGAATGTATACACATTTACCCTTGCTCATTCAAATGCTGATTTCTCTCCCCCATCTGGTTTCAATCCGGACATTGCATTGTGATGCTTATTCTAAGCATCACCTGTCTCAAGTTTGTGTAAACATGCCACCATTTGTTCTCTATATTGTCAACTAAAACAACCAGCCACATTGCTGAGCAATGGAGAGGATAGGGTGGGACATCCTGGTCCAGAGTGGGAGGAAGGGGAAGGAGGCAGGAGAGGAAGAGAATCTGCAGGAGAGGTCTTGGAACCACATGGAGAAATGAACAGGACCTAAGATATGACTAAAAGCAAGTATAGTGGATGAATCTGAATGGTAGGAAACTATGTGGGCTTGGAGGTTTAGGATGGAGCAACTATTGCCCAGCATTGTGCTCTAGGTTAATTAAATAAATTGTAGTCTCTGTGTGGTGATTTGGTTATACAGCTGTTTAGGAATAACCGCTGACTAACTAAAAGATATATCGATAATAAGTATTAATATACTACAACAATATTAGAAGGTTGATGATGCCTCACCATGCTAATTTTGTTTTCTTTGCATATAGATAACCAGGTGAAACTACTGGGTCATCTGGTAGCTTTATCTCTTCTCCGTTCAGGGGCTAACATTGTTTTCTGTGATGGTTGCATGATTTTACATTCTCACCAACTGGGTGTGAGATTTTCCCCCTTTTCACAAAAGAAAATCCTCCCCTCCCTTAAGACAGGGTTTTAGGAAACTCCTAGATTGGCATGCAACTGAGGCTGTCCTTTAGCTCACGATTGATTCTCTAGTCTCTGCTTCTCAAATGCTAAGACGACAGATATGTGTCATTACACCCAGCTTAGAAGAAAATCTTGTTTCAGGAAATCGTTAAGGTTTGATGACATTAGAGAACAATTAAGTCTCCTTAACCATGAAGAATTCCCCACCATTAACACTCAGACACCCTCAGGAGGAAGAAAATAGCAGTGACTAATCTATTACAGAATTCTGTGTTTTGCAACATGTAAGATTTTCCTTTTTATGTATTTCTTTCTTTCTTGTTGTCTTTTCAGATTAGTAACAGCAAGTGGGTCTGTATCTATACGTGTTTATACATTAATCAGGCTCTCTTTCACTCAATAAATCAGTTGTCTACCTGACCTTTAATTCTCCCATGTAATTGAGGTTGAACTTAGTGAAAAGAAACTGAAATCCTGGCCACTGAAAATGCATACATTTCTGAGTTTGATCTATAAGGAGAACTTTTCTCATACTTTTTAGCCTACAGATTTCTTCTAAAATGTACTAGTTGCTTATAAAGTATGAAATTTTTCATTGAAAAATTCAAGCTAGGGAAGAGAAGGCGACTTAGTTAGTAAAGTGTCTGCCAAACAAGCCTGGGACCCTGAGTTTGGATCGCTGGGGCCCACATAGAAAGCTAAGCATGATTTACAGTGCTAACGGGTACTATGAAGGCTACTGTGGGAGAAAATTTCTTAAAAGATTTATCCAGCAGCGGACCTTGTACAATACAGTGCTGACCTGCCCGACAAGATGTGCCTACTGGTAAAATAGTGGCATGACTGATTGGCTTTGAGGCCAACACAAAAGGAAATCATGTTTGGCCAATGGCTTGGGGGTCATAGGCCCTGGGGGTCAGGGGAACCTACAACTGTTGTCTCACCAAGTAGACGCGTTGTCAAACTGCCTTCTAAATGGTTTTGTTTGTAACCAGAGAGTGATGCTGATCTCAGCCTCCGCCAGAGGACACTGCAGTGGGCAGCTCTCAACGCAGAGACTCTCAACTTGTGGAAGCACTGAGATTAAGCAGCTGGTGAGCGCTCAGCCCTTAGTGGAACATTTACACCACACCCTCCAGGATCCGGTGAACATTATGGGAGAGGGGCCAGAAGGCATGCAAGGGCCAGAAGAGGGGAAGGAATGCTGTGAGATGCTGTGTTCTGCATATGACGGGGCACTTGCTCTCATGAACTCACAGTGGTTGTGATTACCTGTACAGACCTGAAAAAAAAATCAAGTCAGTGAACATGCTAGTACAGGTGGGGGAGGGGCCCTACAAGGCACTATGTGGGGAGCTATTGACAGTTTATGGCTGCTTCGACCTGGGGAGCCCTTTGTCTTCAGAAACTACAGCTGCTGGTCAGCTGATCATGTTTCCTTGGATGGTGTCACATCTACGAGTGCTCAAATCAAATGTTGCTAGTGACATTAACGCAGCTGAGCATTCTTTTTGGGGAAAACATATTCCTGCTATCCATGCAAATTAAAAATAAGAATATTAGAAGCATCTTAAGCAGATGTGATGATGAATAAAAATCAGATATAGTCATTTCTGGGCAAAGACTATCTAGAGCTCATTGCCTGGAAATAAACATGAATGTTCACAGGAAAACAAGTTTTTATGCTACCTGGCACATGATAAGGTGTGCAGTCTCACTGGACACCAGGAAAATGCTGACTTTAAAAAATGATGACTATTTCCACAGCACATCCCTGAACACCATGGGAGGAGAACATTACAAATGGCCTTTAAGTGGCTACATGTAAGGTCACACCTATTCATAATGCTGACACGAAGTTGCTCAGTAACAGCTGAAAAACATATTCTGGATAATACTGAACCCCAGGATTTGATTAGCAGCTTTTTTTTTTCCTTTTTAACCACTGTACAAACAAAGAAATGAAGGCAGATGAAGGAGGAAATGTCTGAAGGAAACTTTGTATTTTATTACTACAAGAAAGAAACAGACTGTTCTAGAAACCTGTCCTATGATTTTTTTTTTTCCGGGCAGCTCTCAAGCATGAAGACATCTCTGCCAGGGCAGGTGGATAGTTCCTAGGTGCCTCATGCTATTCTGGTGACTTATGCTAGGTCACTTTACAAATGCCACGGACTAGCTAACTTCAGTTCAGTTTCTTCAGGATCTTTCTGCAAAGAATGTTTGAAGCAGTTAAAAGCTAAAGTTAATTTCTGCTTCAGAACCTGAGCACATGATGACAAATGTGTTTCTTTGGCTATTTTGCAAAACGACTCAGAGCAATGGCACTTCCCAGTGCAAATGATGATGCCATTGTGTATGGTCATCCGGGTAGCAATGGGCATGGCGCCTTCATAAACAGAATATAGTCCAAAGGAGAAACAAAAGTCCAGGTTTTGAAAAGTGAGTGTCTGCTGGCTGAGATGGGGAAATGAGGCATCACTGTGACAATCAGTCACCCTGGCCACTTGCTAAGAAATAGGGCCTTATCCAAAATTTCAAAGTGGGAAAACAAATCATCCAGAAGGAACTGGATGGTTCTGTTATGGTGAGTCATTTCCGATAAGACAATGTAAACCTGAGCAAACCAGCACACATGAGGAAATGAACTTTATCTCATCTAGAGGGTAGAGGCTGCAGCTCTCCACACGGAGAGGACAGCCTGGACCTGCACTTCCTGGTGCAGAAGAGCCCAGTAAGAAATGCCAACACAGTGTGCTCACTGCCTCTCCCCCTCCCGCCCCATGACCGCTGGTCTTTTCTGAAGAGAGGGGTGCACACTCAGAAATGTTAGAGACTCAGAAATGTTAGAGACATTAATTACTTCTCAGTGTTGGCCTCCTGAAATGAGATCAGTCGTTTCCTGCTGTCTTTGTTCTATTTTGACAATGAAGATATTTGATCTTGACCATGACACCTTCATCACACTATGCTCACAAACGTTTATGACTTAAATGGAGGGGTGTTGACTCCTTGGGCTTTACTGGTGCTTTAGTGAGTGACTGCCCTTGATTATGGTTTTCGAGACTCCTTCATGAGTTTATCTGCCTCAGTAAAACTAAGGCCAACTTTCCCTGCCCCCATTTGTTGTGGAATGCCTGGATGGTCTATCTTTCGGTCAAGCTGTTTCTTGGACCAATGCCTCTCGAATGATTTCCACCTGATATTTGTTACTGTTTATTACACACCTAGGTACTGTTAATGTCCCTCTACTTATAAAGAAGCCACTCCGTTAAGAGTCTACATAGTCTTCAAGATAATTTATTTACTTATAAAAATTTGAGTTGAGACAGGGTTCTTATTAATCTAGCTAAGGCTGGACTTGAACCTGAGAGCCTTCTGCCTCAGTTTCCCTCATGCTGGGATTATAGGCAGGTGACACCCAGCACAGCTTGTTGAAAGTAACTGAAACACAGCCTTTGATTTCTGACTCCTCCATTGTGGTGGTTTGAATAAGAATGGCCCCCACAGGCCCATACAGTTGACTG